AAAGGGGAAAAGGAAAGAGGAAAGGGGGTCCCCTTGTCTTATCCCTAATTGCATGAAAGTGATCTACCACTACCCCATTCACCAAAATAAAGTAATGACAGGTCACAATGCAACCTTGTATTCATGTACACCATCTCTCCCCAAAACCAAAAGTCTCCAACACTTGCATTAAAAAGGCTAATCCACCATATCATATGCCTTTTTCAAATCCAATTTACACACAAGGCCCTTTATCCCAGTTCTTTTCAAGCCCTCCACACTTTCATTTGCAATTAAAATCTGATCAACTATTTGTCTATTCATCACGAAAGCACCTTGATTATGGGAAATTATTTGTGGAAGCGCATCACTAATTCTCTGGGAAAGCACCTTAGCAATAATTTTATAAAGACTATTTGCCAAACTAATAGGCCTGAACTCCTCTGGGTGATTTGCACCACAATGTTTTGGTACAAATGCTATAAAATGGAGTTCAAACCTGAATTAATCACACCCCTCTCAAAAAATTCAGTCAAAACCTTCTATGTGTCCTGTTTGAGTATGTCTCAACAATTTTGGTAAAATGCCATCATAAACCCATATGGCCCTAGTGCATTAGATCTATCCATAGAGAATATTGCTTTCTTTATTTCCTCCAACTCAAAACCCCTTGCAAGCCATACCTTGAGGTCCTTAGAAATCCTAGACCAATCCAACGCTTTTAACCATGGTCTTGCTTTCAAGGGTCTCCTGTAAATAGACTTGAAGTGAACCACAAATGCCCCTGCAATCTCAAACTGTTCTGTAAGTGCTAAATCATCAATCACAAGCTTAGAGATGAGACTTTTCTTTCTCCTTCCATTAGCCATAATAGCATGAAAAAATTGTGTTTCTACCCCCCTCCTTCACCCACTTATGTCTATATTTTTGCCTTAACTCCCCCGAAACTACAACTAAATGCAGTTACAACATAGCCCAAAAGACATTGTTTCTTCCCATCCCTTGGTTTAGCCAATGGATAGGCAATTAGCATCTCTCTTAATCCAACTTAATTTCCATTCCTTGTCTCAAACACCTGAAATTCCTTTTTTCATTGATGTAATCCCACAATTCCCACCACCCCATCTCCTCCTCCTTTTGAAGCCCGCTAATAACCAACTTTTAGTCCCCTTCAAATATCAGTTTAGAAAATTGATTGGATTTTTGAATTCCTTCCATAGCAGCAAGAATTTCAGCTCCCAAAGAATCTCCTACACCAATAGGACATGAGAAAAGAGCCCTAATTCTACCTTCCTAATCTCTAAAAGCTCCTCCAATGCCGGATGGTCATGAATTGCCTTTACTACTACCATCAAAATTCAATTTGAAAATTCCATTAATTGAGGAGGTCCAGGGTGGTCTTTGTGACAACTTCAAATGGAGCAAAGTCAGCCACTTCCCTCCACTTTCTCATCAGATCAGCAGCAAAAGCTCCTTCAAAGACTTTCAAAGTCTCCACCCAATGGATCACCTAGTTGTAATGACTTCGATTAGGGCTTCCCTACCTCTTTCTTTTTCTGCAAATATTCTCTAATTTCTTTCTTCCAATATTGTCTAGTAAACTGCAGTTCTGTACACCTCCATAAGATTCTTCCCCTCATTTTCTGTCAACTAACAAAGGTAGGGCCGAACAAGCTTTGTACATTTGGCGGGGGTGGGGGTGGGGGGGTTCCACCTAATAAATGGTAAGAAAAAATTAAGGATGGCATGGATAGGCTTCCAAGGGGAAGCTTTTGTAGCCCTAGCCATCACACCAGCACCCCAACCATCAGCTGCAAGTCCATGAATACTAGTTATCACCCTTCACCCACAGCTTATCCCTATCAATTGGCAATTTCCAATGCCATTTAGCAAGTAAGGCCACATTCCTTTCCTGGATATTCCCCAACCCTAGCCCACCAAACTTCTTGCTCCTTCTAACAACTTCCCAACTAACTTTGTCGTTGGGAACTCTCTCATTCCTTTCCTGGATATTCCCCTGGCTCCCACAAGAAGTCTCTCATCAACTTTTCTAGTTGATCTCTACTTTAAATAATAAATCCTCTAATTGTTTCCTTAGAGACCACCTTACCTCCTTATCCCTTTCCTCAAGAATCCCTTCAACTTCTTCAGCATCCAACTCCTCAATTTGACTAATCACCTCTTGTTTTCACTCTTCAATTCTTACAAAATGCTGAATATTCCATTCTTTGATTTTGGCTTTTAGTTCCTTCAATTTTCAATGAAACTTCATTCCCTCCAATTTTGGCCTTGGATTGCTTTCTATCCATCAATCCTTTACTTTCTCTACAAATCAAGGGTGACACAACCACATGTTCTCAAATCTAAATGGGACTAGACCCCTACTACCCAACTCTTCTTTGGCAATGGTGATAGGCTGATGATCAGAGTTTAGCCTAGGCAAAGCCCTGGAAACTAAATTTCCCCAATTTTCCTCCCAATTTGCAATGAACAAAATCCTATCAAGTTTAGAGTAGATAGGGTTTGCCTAAAGGTTAGACCAAGTGAAAATTGTTGTGTAAGAGGGGGCAATTCCTTAAGCTCAAAATTATTGATGAAATCATTGAATTTCCTCATACCTGTATTAATTCTCTGCCTCAGGTTATTTGTCTCCCTATGAATCTAATAACATTGAAATCTCCACCTATGCATTTACTTATCATAAAAAAATCCACCTATGCACCAAGATCCCTCCCAAAGTCCTCTAATATCTCCCAATTCTTCCTACATCTAATTGCTTTCTCTATATCTGTTGGAGCCATATATATTTGTCAATACCCATTCAAATCCATCTGCCACTTGCTTAAACTTAATGGAGACTGTAAATCTACCAACAAGTTCTTCAATTCCTTCCAAAATCTCATCTTTCCATAAAGTCACTATGCCTCCTAAGGTTCCTAGAGAAGGGCTCATTGCCTAACTAATTCCCCTTGCCTTCCACACACTTCTACCCCACTCGATATCAAATTCTGCTAGTTTGGATTCTTGTAAGATCGCCACTTCAGGATCTCCTTTTCTTAACAATTCTTTTATTATAGCCCTCTTGGTTGCATTCCCCAAACCTCTTAAACCATATTGTTGTATTTTACGCATTCTAATTAGATCCGTAGTTCTTTAAGTATTCAAAAGAGTGATACCAAAGTTCTTTCAAAACGGAACTAAACATGATAAAATTGTATGTATGTATGTATACATACATAAATACATACATATATATATATATGTATAACGAAAGACAGGAGACATCAGTAAATACTGTGCTAATATGGTCTGAACTAGCTCAAAGAAATTAAGTTATATAAATAAATAAGTAGAGAGTTGAGAAAGGCTGCAATTAGCATATCAAAATTGAAGGGATTTTGGCAGCAGTAAAGTCAAAATTAAACAACACTTAAGTTTCCTGCGTAACATGACCCAACAATGTGAAGAACAAAACGTTTTTTCTTTGGTAATAAAGTAAAACTTTATTAAAAATAAAAGAGAAGAACAAGAAAGGTGACCAGAAGTCACCCAAGAGAGAAAAAAAACAACCAAACAGCCAACACCTCAAAAAGATCACCGACCACAAAACCAGAAATGCAACCAAGCTCCCTAAAAGCAAAAAACAAGCCACCAAAATAGAGCTCTTTTTTTTTTTTTGATAATCACCAAAATAGAGCTCTTCACAACCAGACATCTCACAACAGATCAAAAGAAAGCAACCCAGAAAAGACTCCTTCCACACACCTGAACCAAAAGAACAATAAAAAACAGAATCCTCTACTTTCTCTTTTGACCCTTCTTGTGTTCCACTTGTGATGGATTTTTCACAATACCCTAGAGCCAATGTGCTCCTTCAACAAGCATTCTCTTTTGACCCTTCTTGTGTTCCACTTGTGATGGATTTTTCACAATACCCTAGAGCCAATGTGCTCCTTCAACAAGCATTCTCTTTTGACCCTTCTTGTGTTCCACTTGTGATGGATTTTTCACAATACCCTAGAGCCAATGTGCTCCTTCAACAAGCAATGCGTTGAAATTAAAAGTAATTCATGGTACATGCATCACTTCTCATAATGAAAGTTAGTCAAATTCCACAAAACAACACGTGTTGGTTATCTGACTTCATCAATCATATATTGACCAATGACAATGTCACAATGCTTCATAGATTACTCAGACTACCCAGAGTTCTCTCTCTTTTTATAATAAAGAATATCCATTAAAAGAAAAAAGAAAAGGGTATCAAGAAATCACCCACCGTTTTATCTCTAAATTTAAGAACTAAAACAACAATGGTTTTATCTTAATTAGATCAGTACGGAATCTGGATGGATAAAATGAAGGCATACAAGGATAGGAGGAAAAGTAGTTCAGTCCCCCCCCCCAATAAACACCACCAAGCCACTATGAATAAACCGGTACTGCTATCTCCCAAATAATGAGCTGAATTAAAATTGATACCTAAGAAAACAAAAACAGGGACTCCATCCATGCCTCGAAAAAAAAAAACATAAACAAAAAGTTGCCCCTGTTCGTCAGTACGATGTGAAACATCTGGCATTTTAGAAATAGGGATTTCTGACCTAATACAAAGTTAATATAATGTTAAAATAAAATCACGTGCCCACTAATAATTTCCGACCCAATGATTAATAATGTAATGTGAGTTACAACATCATCAAGAAGAAGTTGTTTGTCAAATGAGACCCTCAATCCATTAAGCACTGTATATATTTACTCAAACAAGCAAAATGTTAAACCTATATCCAACAACACCCAAATCTATACATGGGCACGCCATTGTTACCAATACAAGCAGAAATATATATATATATATATATATATATATATATCAAACCAACTTCATAAGGAAATAATCAAAGAAATATACGAACCAGAAGATGTGTAATTGGATAATACCAAAAAATAAAATAAAAAGGTGTACAGAAAAGGTCCAAAATGATCGAAAAACAAAAAACAAAATCGAAAATTTCTAGTACCTTCATCAAGATCCATCTGAGCACCTCCATTCTTATTGTCTTTGTCGTCCACCCCTTCCCTCAACTCTATGTCCTCCATGTCATCTGCCTTCCCAACATCCCCAGCATTCAAAGTGAGAGGGCCTTCCGACGTGATTTCCAAAGTCTTCTCCTCGACGGTTTCTGCAGAAACAGTCCTTTGCTCCTCGGCCACCACCTCAGTCACAGAAACCTCTTCTGTAACAACAGTCTTGTCTTTAGAGGACTGGGACGCTTCCTCGACTTCTTCACTCTTCGAGGCCGGCATCTCTTCTTTGGCATTGTTCTGCACATCTTCCGTAGTCATCTTCTCTTCGACGAGGCTCGACGGCTCCTCCGTTTCCGACACTTTATTTTCACCAGGGGAACTCGAGGGAACTGCCTCTGGTTTTGATTTGGCAATCGTTTTCCTTGCCCTCGGCCCCGGCTTAGTGCCCGAGGCACCAGCCTTCCTGTTCACTGCCCGGGGTGGCATGACTAACTCACTTTAGAGAATAACTATGATTCTCTAGGGTTTGCAGAGAGGAGATTTGAGAAATTTTGGAAAAAACTAGGGTTTTGCAGAAGACGAGGGAGGGTTCCAGAGACAAAGCGGGTTGGTTGAGAGACCTCTCGGCGGGGTCCGACATGAAAAAAATAGGAAATCTTTTCTTTTCCTTGACCTTGGCGAGTTCGGAAAATCTTGACCGTAGTTCGCACGGGAGGTTGTTTGCACGGAAGTACACGAATGGAATGGGCAACAAAATAACGCCACGTGTCCTGCTTTCCTTTCTGTATTTCTAGACGAACGCATTCACAATTACGGAGATGCAGTCATCACCGTCAATGTAGAATCATCCGACGCCTGGGCCCCAATTCGGTCGCAACGGTACTGCCGACGCCCGTTTTGGCGTTTAACCGTAAACCCGTGCGACAAGATCAGCCGCCGCGTAACTGCAAATGTAGCGACTGTCCGCAAGTAGGGCCCATTCAATCTTCTGGCGTTCATTACAAACATGCTACTCTAGTCTCCAAGGCGACGATGCACGATCTTTTTTTTCATCGAAAACCGAAATGTGCTATACTGTCACGGGGGTAATCGGTGGGCCCCGTGCGGCACTCAAAATGGGCGAATAAGCCTACGAAATAAAGCAAACATATACAAAGGCAACAAGAAGGCACACGAATTAACAAATGCTACTTGTATTGCATTAATCAGTGGTAAGCACAAGCACACAGTACAGTGTCGAGGGGATCTCGTGCTTAACCTTTACACGCTTATGAGCTCACTCGACTACCTACCTCCCCTCAAAGTGTACATTAAGCTTTTGGGGGAATGACAATAAGAAACGTCAAAAAGATGAAAAAGCATACTACAATATTACAATATTGCCATTGGTAGTCCCCCATACAAAAGTACATGCTTAGCCTACCCATGGCACACACTTGGACGTTGGAGTTGTGGTCGTAGGCACAGTGGATGGCACTTGATGGCGCGTCGAAGAGAACACTTATTACAGTCTCCCCCACTCAATTCAGTCTTCATCCTCGAATACTAGCTTCTGCTTGATGCTTCAACTTGTTGTTGGTGAAAGAAGGTTCTTCGACTGCTCCACGAACCGGGTTTCTTCCAACTTCTGCTTGAGGCTTCAACTTGTTGTTGGTGAAAGAAGGTTCTTCGACTGCTCCACGAACCGGGTTTCTTCCAAGGCCCAGATAGTAGGTTGGGTAGATTGCCAGTGGATGTTCTCGATGGTGGGAAAACCTATGGCTAGTCCCTAAGTTAAGTCCCTGCTTGCCAGTGGATGTTCTTTGAAAAGCAAACCATAGATTTTGCAAAATTTGAGGCTTGGCCAAAGGCTTTAGCAAAGCTAGCAAGGATCCCCTTTACTTTAACACAAGCCGATATGGTGGTTTTTGAGGAGATGAGACAAACATCTGCAAATTGAAGAATTGGGATATTGTAAGGCCATTTTTTTTTTATTTTGCAACCAATCGAAGTACCTGGATCATTGGCCTCTCCAATTAATGTCTTCGTAAGAGYCTCGTTACATAGGACAAAAATATAGGGGGAGAGAGGGTCCCCTTATCTTATTCCTCTAGAAGGCTTGAATTCTTATGTCGGGATTCCATTAATTAAAATCTGATAAGAGACAGAAGTAATACATTCCATAACCCAAGAGATCCATCTAGTATGGAACCCAAACTTCCACTCCAATCTATCATAAGCTTTTCCCATATCAACTTTACAAACCAAGATTCCAGATTTGCCTTTCTTTTTTTCTCATAGCATGAAAGACYTCATGTGCAATGAGAATATTGTCATTGACCTGCCTATTAGGAACAAACACACTCAACATGGGGGAGATAAGGCTATCTAAAAATTGTTTCATTCTGCTTGTCAATATCTTTGCAATGACTTTATAAACTACATTGCAAAGACTAATTGGACGGTAGTTATTTACTAATTTTGGATTCTTTCATTTGGGAACAAGGGTGATGAAATTTTTATTTAAGATGCCACACATCCTTCTGAAGTGAAAGGATGACTTCACCACACCATATATTCCAAACCCCCAATATGCCAATTTTTTTTAAAGAAAAGGGTATTAAGACCTTCAGGTCCCGAGGCCTTTAAATCTTTAACTGAAGAAAGAGCTTCAAAGATTTCCTTATTTGTAACCTGTCTTATGAGAAGGTTATTTTGCTCATCACTACCACAGTTTCCAATATCCATTAGAAAATTACCAATATCAGTCGTACCCTCTGTTTTGAACCTACTAGTGAATTTCTCATTGAAGAAACTCGCAATGTGATCCTGGTCTCTTAACCAAACACCCTCATCATTTTTTATCCCCGTTATCGTATTTCTTGATTTTCTAATGGTAGCAGATGTATGAAAGAATTTGTTATTTTGGTATCCTAAATTTAACCAGTATATTCGAGATCTTTGGGCCCAGTAAGCCACATCATGAAATAAAATATTATTTAATTGCTCGTGAAGCGCATTTTCAAGATTAATAAGAACACTGTTTCTCAGGGATTCTACTATTTGTTTTTGCACCTCTTAAAGTCTGCATAGTAAGGACTATTTTGTCTTGAAGATATTACCAAAAACATCTATGTTCCATTTATTTAATTTTTTTAGCAAGATTATTACTCTTCTTTACAAATTGAACAGCATTGGAACTGATAGCATTGATATCCCATGCTTGAGAAACCACCCCCTCAAGAGAAGGGTCCATGCACCACATGGCCTCAAATTTCAAAGGCTTTTTCCCTCTAATGGAATGACAATATGTATTAAGTAACAAAGCCGAATGATCCAAGACTAAAAAGGGTAAATTAGTTAAACCAGCATTGGGGGATATGCTTATCCATTCGACATTGACAATACCCAATCGAGTCTTTCCAAGATGGTTTTATTTCTCCACGTGAATTTGTTCTCCATCATCTCCAGCTCCATGAGTTTGCAATCAGTAATAACCTCGTTAAAGGCACGAGTTTGGCTAAGTGTAACCTCTCTACCCCCATTTTTATTTTTAGTAGATAGGAAATTGTTGAAATCTCCCATAATACACCAAGCTCCATTAATGTTGGTAGCGATGTTTCTAACCTAATTCCAAACAGCAATTTGTTCATTTTTATTTGGGGGGAGGGGGGCATAGATACAAGTGCACCACCATGGTTTGTTAGAGAGCAAATCAGTGACTAGACAATGAATAAGTCTTTCATTTGTAAACACAACTTGAATATTACATCGTTTACTGTCCCACAAAAGCCACGGAACCCCAGAGAAACCAACAGGGTCTACTAGTACAAATCATTCATTATAAATGTACTAATAACTCTACTAGCTCTATTCGGATTAATTATAGTTTCCATTAAAAGGCAACAACCAAGATTGTGTGTTTTGATCAAATTAGCCACCTGTCTTTGAATGTAGGGACGCCCTACTCCCCTAATATCCCAGCTACGGACCTACATTAGTAACCATATTGAGATTAGGATCCATATTATCCTCAACAACAAGGCCTTTCTCCTCTCCTTTGTCATTTTGGAACAAGAAATTACTGTTGTCAACGTTATGGTCGTCTTGATCATACCATATTTCTTCTATGTCTTCCATGCCATCCTCCTCACCTCCAAGATTATCTTCCCCTTCCTCATAGTCATCATCAGGATTATTTAGGCCAATATTGTTTCCAACTTGAACATTTGACATTACTGGCTCTAGTTCTGCATCATTCATAATACCGAACAAATTATGTTTCTTAATAAATTCAAAGAAAACAACACTATGGCTATATGCAGTAGCACTATCATTTTTTTAACCCATATACCTTTTATAGCATTACCTCTTTGTGGTTCAATAGTAGCATGGCCATAGTTAATGAGTTTGGCCTTGAAATCTTTTGCACGATCAAATTTCTAGATTCTAGCATTTGCCTAGTTATTATTCTTACTGACCCAATGTCTTTCATTTTGGCGGGCAAAAACAATGGGGTTATGGGGTTTATTTCCATAATGTTGTTTTCTTGAGTTGGTCTATCCCTTTTGAATGGATGAGAGATCCATCATATGGATAACCGAACTCTATAGTTAGGTAGGGCGAATTTTCAAAAATTTCTCTCTCTCCCATGTGGGAATCACATTCCCAGTTTTAGAAAATTTGCATTTTCAATGATCAATTTTGAACCAATAACCGAACCAGATCTGAAACCAAAAAGGTAGGAGAGGGATATACCAGATACGGAGTAACCGTAACTCCCAACGAATGTGTTCACACCCAAAAAAAGCTCCAAAGACTGCTCCCACTGAAGATGACACAGCGTAGGGTGAAGCAAAATCAGCAGGTTATTCACAAGAACCAATCCTTCACCAAGAATTTGATGGAGGATATGTGAGCACGACTTCATATCAGTCTTTTTTCAAAAACTGATATCAATAACACTTCTTGATCGCTCTTACAGTGGAGATCGAATTGGCAATGGCGACAGGGCGCAAGAGCAGAAGATGACGTAGTCTTACTGTAGCTATATTCTCTCTTTTTGTTATATAAGATATGATGTAAACTAGATATTGTAATGAATGATTCGCCCCCTCCTCCTTTTTTAGTCTTAAAGAGATCAGCTCCTAATCCCATTAGGAGTTTCCTAATTCAAATTCTTATTTGAATATGGACTATTTTTAAAAGATAAGGATAAGCCCTTATCTTATATGCAAATTAGACCATCCCTCCTAATCTTATTAGGAGTTTCCTAATCGAAATCATTACTTGGAACTGGACTCTCTGAGTGGATAGGGATAATCCCTTATCCTATCTGCTGATCAAAATCCCAGATCCGCCCCTCTCTTTAACTAATAAAATAAGACCAGTTCGAATTGAGCTTTAGGCCCATTAAGTCTATCTGCTCACTAACCTTCCAAACTGCTGCCCAGTTGGGTTTCCTTGTATGGCGTGAGACCCAAACATTGATCTACACATCAGCCACATAGGTTCAACCTAGCCTCTGTTACAAGGCTTAGCTGGATTCACTGTAGGAAACAGTGAACGCCTGAGCCCATCACCACAGGCTCTTAATGGGCCCAACACTTACACTAAATGGTCCCTGGGCCAAGCCAACTTATAAAAACCCAGAGACTATGGGCAAATGCA